TTTCCCTCCGAAAGGGAGGAGGTACCGGTTGCTTGGAAGGCCGAGCGGCGTGGAAGTCACCGCCCGAAGAGGCAAGCAGGCCGCTATATCTCCCAGTCGGGCGAAGAGCCCAGCCTCATTCTCGGTGTGCAAGTTTGGCGACACACTGGTTGGAGCGCCGGTTGGAGCAGCGCTATCCAGGAGCAGCGCTGCTGGGGAAAGGAAAAGGACACGGAGGAGGAAGAAGGACAGGAAGGGGGAGGAGCACCAGGGGTACTTACCTGGTTATGGTGGCAGCCATCTTCATCACCTTGGTAAGCTTTGAGGCAAGGTCAAACATGGCGGACTCAGCTAGAGCAGCCATAGCTGCTTTGGGTTGTCCTTTGGGCATCTGGGCAAGGCTTAGAAAAGGAACTCGGACATTGATTCTGGATCAGCCATTCGACATTGTATTATTATTTCTTGTATGAATAAGAGAAGGGGGAGTTAAGGAGGAGGAGATTGTTGGGCGAAGAAGAAGAGCCTTGTTATCTGTCTATGCTGGTGTACATCATCTTCTTCTTCTTTCTTACTTCTTCTTGTTCTTCTAATCCTCTCTCTCCTCTCAAGTTCATTCATTTCTTTCTGCAATTGGATTGGACGACATTGTACTATCTGATGGGTGTGTATCTCGGCAGTCTTGGAACAACACGATGGCGACGACTGGCATCCCGTGGAGTACTTCAGCCACAAGGTGTCTCCCATCAACTCACTTGATATGTAAGGAAGAAGGAGTTGCTCGCGTTCGTGATGGTTCTCAAGCGATGGTGGCACTTCCTCCTTGGGCGTCGTAGGTTCACATGGGTCACGGAAATAACCCGTTGACCTACTACAAGACGTAAGATACAGTGAGCGGCACTATCGGACGATGGATGTACTTCGTCAACCAATTTGACTTCACACCAAAACACCTCACCGGCCTCTCCAATCGCTCAGCAGATGCATTCTCTCGAAGACGCGATCTTTGCGCAATGACACATCATGCCTTCGCATTCGACGAGGAACTTTAGCGACATTTCATTCGTACCCCACGGCTCCCGAACTTGCGCGCCTCTTGCACACCGGCTGGATTTGCAGCCACGACGTACCGGAAGACCTCGTTTGCGACCGCGACACTCGATTCATTTTGGACTTCTTTCATGCAGAAATCCGACACCGAAATGAAACCGAGTTCGGCTCGCCATCCACAAATGGATGGGCAAACGGAGCGGGCACATCAAACCACTCAAATGATGCTTCTTATGCTCATCCGTCCGGATCAGAAGGACTGGGTTGGCCGCCTTCCCGACATCGAGTTCGCCTACAACACTTCGTTGCATCCGGCAATCGGTGTGACTCCATTTGAGTTGCACCACGGTGGCCGGAAAGGCCGTATCTTCGTTGATCTTCTCCTTCCACGGACAGCCGACATAGATGCCGCTTGCTCTCCCACCTCTGTCCGGAAGTACAGGGAATTGCTGGCTCAAGCCCGTGTGAACATGCAAAAGGCTCAAGTCAGCATGCATCAGCAAGCCAACAGGCGTCGCGTGCCATGTCCCATCCGCGCCGGCCATCTGGTTTGGGTCTCCGTGGAAAAGTTTGCGCTCGAATAGGATGTTTCACGCAAACAACTCCCCAACTGGTTGTACCATGGACCGTCCTTTTAGACGCAGGCGATGAGCCTGACGGCCCATCCTTTGTGATCGACATCCCTCCGCATTTGCCGGTCCATCCAGTCTTTCACGCCTCGAAGCTGGCAACATACACGCCAGCTAAGAGTGACGACTTCTCGGGCCGACGATCACAAGACCCTCCGTCTATGGATGGTCATCAGGAAGTGAACCGCGTCATCACGGATCACAAGTACGACAACAAGCTTCAACAGTACGAAGTTACCTTCAAAGCATGCGATCCTAAGGACACTCGCTGGATTTCACGAGCAGATTTGCAAGCATCTGCACCGCTGATCTACGCTCACTACGAACGACGAAGACTAGCTAAGGAAGCTTCATGACCTGCCCCTCCCACCCAGACTTTGGTCCCTCCCTCCGACGGGCGGCTTCGCCCTCGCAGGTAAGCTCGGTCTTTCAAGGAGCAGGGGGTGTGGCATACTGCGCATCCACACGGGCCTGCAGAGCCCGACCAAATAGAAAATAAGGGCCCTCCAAGCTCTGTGTCGTTTCAGCCTCAAGTCTGAAAAGGAGGGCCATTTTCAGGCCCTCATAAAGTCTACCTGCCCTGAAACTTAGGCTTCAGACCAAGGTTTAGCACAGGCCATTTTTGGGCCTGTTTCAAGACAACCTTTGTTTGAACTTCAACCCCAGGGTCTGGCACGTTTCGACATTGGCAAGAGCAGCCTCCTGGGCGGGCCAGCACTATATAGTATTGGCCCGCACTGCAGGCTGCAGGTTGTTCACGGGGACTTCCCAGGCAGTTCACGGGCACTTCACGTGCAGGAGGCAGGAGGCAGTCTTCAAGATTCGGCAGCAGCACTCTGCAGGAGCGCTGTAGTAGTAGTAGTAGCGCTAGGAGTAGTCTTCAGCGCTGGGCGCTGTTAGGAGCTTAGAGTAGCGTTGGAGAGAGAGAGAGAGTGGCGGAGGCCAGGGATACTTACTTGTGGCGCCATAGATCAGCTTCGTCTTCAATGTACCTGCAACAAGGCGCCACCTTCACAGGTTAGTACTGGGTACACCAGAGAGAGAGAGAGGGTTTTTCTTCTTCCTCCTCCAACTCCACCACCTCTCCCTCACCCTCTCGCTACCTGACTTCTCAGCACCTACATTGGAAGCGTCAGTCGTCACTCGCGTTGGCAAGGTGGGGTCGTAGATGCTAAGGACGGGTGCCATGAGCATCGTCGTCTTGAGTGCTTAGAATGACCGGCGTGCTTCATCGTCGAATACGAATGGCACCTTTGGCGATTGTAATCTCGTCAATGGTGCGGCAATCCTTGAGTACCTGGTGATAAAGCGTTGATAGTAGCCTGCCAACCCCATGAATGAGCAAACGTCCGTGGTGTTGGTGGGCTCGGGCCATACGCGGATGGCCTCGATCTTGTCCATGAGCGGACGGATGCCTTGCGGCGTCACATAATGGCCCAAGTATTCGGGCTCTTTTCGCGCAAATTCGCATGTGTCGCGGTTGGCTTTGTACTTGGCTTGTTGCAGCCGCTCCAAAACGGTGCGCAGGTGCTCCACATGCTCGTCCAAACTCCGGCTGTACACCAAGATATCGTCGAGGTAGATGAGTACAAATCTATCCAGCATGTGTCGGAACTCCGTTTCATAGCCACTTGGAACGTGGTCGGGGCATTCATAAGGCCAAAAGGCATAACCAGCCATTCGATATACCCATATCGCGTCTTAAACGCGGTCTTGTAGCGGTCCTCCTACCGGATCTCGAGTTGGTGATATCCCGATTTGAGGTCAAGCTTGTAGAAGAACTTCACGCCGCCCAGCCATTTAAGAAGGTCGTCGATGCGCGGAAGAGGGCCAGCGTTCTTGATGGTTTGCTCGTTGAGCTTGCGATAATCGGTGCACAACTGCAAGTCCTTGTTCTTCTTCCGGACGAAGAGAACGGGAGCGCCGTATGGCGAAGAGCTAGTTCGAATCCAGCCTTTCTCAAGAACGTCGTCGAGTTGTGCCCGTAGCACACTTAACTCTTCCTCGCTCGTGCGGTAGATGCAACCACGCTCAGGTATGGCCCCGGCCTCCAGGATGATCTTGTGGCGGATGGGCCGATCCGGTGCTACTCCGTGCGGGGCTTCGAACACGTCGCCGTAGGCGCGGTAGGCGCCGTAGGCGTCGAGAAGCTGGGTGATGCGTGGGTCCGTTGATGCGTCCGTCGATGGGATGTCCTGGGGAGGGAGGGCGTGGAGAAAACACACACCCATCTCCTCGACGTCATCCCGAGTGATGGAAGCCCGAATGCTCGCGGGGGACACCACGTGACAGCTGATCGAAGGGTGAGGTGGAGGCACCGTGCACGGGACTAGTACTCCGTTCCGATCACGAATGTGAATGGTGCGGCGGTAGAAGTTCACCGGGTGATCCTTGCTTCGCAGCCACGACATGCCCAAGATCATGTCGAACTTGGTGTCCAAAATGTAGAAGGACACGACCTCGCTTTCATGCGGGGCAAAGTACACGGGGACGGAATCGATGCACTGGTCAATTGACTTGTGCGTGTGACCGTTGGCCATTGTGACTTGCGTGGGCTGCGACTTCCTCCGAACGCGTGGCCCCAGGCCAGCGCATACCATAAAATATTGGCTCATATAGTTGCGAGTAGCTCTGCAATCGATCAAAGCGTTGCAGGTCACCTCTCCGATCTGAATGTGTATGTACAACAATGGGGCGTCGTTGTTGCCATACCGTTGTGTCTTGAACTTACGGTCGATCTTCGCAAGGTAGTTTCGAAGGTCAACAACCCCTACTCTGGCGTCCATCAACGGAGCTGGTACTGCAATGTGCAAGTAATCCCGCAATTGTGCCATGAGCACGTTGCAATGCGGTTTCGGCAATCGACCGGTCGGGGGAAGGGGCATCCATTGGAAGTCCGTTGTCGTACCAAATACCCTTACAAGGGAATTTGGCGTGTTTTTGTAAGTCATGCCAGTGCGGCCTCGTCCAGGGTTGACGGCGCGCTCGCAGGTGGGAGTTGAGTCCCGCCCGGATGAGCGGCGTGTGAGGTGCGTTGACGGCGGGGTGCAACTCTACTCTACGCAGCCTGGGCGTGCGTGGCGTCGCGGACTAGCGAGACGCGCGGCCCCTAGCCCCCTTACCTTTGCTGTGATTACATTGCGGTCATATTTTATTATTTTCCTAGTTTTATTTTTTTCGATATTCTTGACTCGGTGTCAGTTCCGAGACCCCCGGCGGAGCTGATGGGTCTAGTTCGTTTGGTACACCAGTGGACCGCCGAAGTACAGGGCCAAGTTCGAAGTCCCGCTGCAGTCGGGCGATTGGGACAACTGGGAGCCTTACGACGCAAGTGAAATACCACTACTTTTTATTTTTATTGGTATTGATATCGCGAAGGGAAGCCGGGGTCTTGCCCGAGTCACCCGGTCCAAGGCGCGGGCCCTTGTGGCTTGTCTGATCCACGCGAAAGGCATTGTTCAGTGGGGACGGCACAACTGCGGGTGCACTGTCCGCCACCTACGATCTATTGAGAGAGGTTTGAATGTGAGCGTGCCCGCTGGGACACGTAAGATGGTGAACTATGCCTGAGCTAGACGGGGCCAGGGGGCACCGGTGGGAGGCTGCCGCAGTCTTGGCAATGCGGCAAGTTGTCGTGGCAGCAGGTGACTTGGAACCCCTTTCCACTTCGAACCTTCAAAACTCTCATTTGAATATTTGCTACTACCACCAACCCGCTCTACCGAGGCCCACACTGCAGGCTTGCAGCAGGCCTGCGGCCTCCTACTTGTCGCTGGCGTCAAAGTCGACACGGCGACCGAGGCCAGTTGATTTAGCATGTGAGTTGCCACACACTCCCTAGCGGGTCTCGACTTCCACGACTACCGCCCTGCTGCTTGTATCAGATTCCACTCGTGGTGGTTTCTGGTTAAGCGCGCAGTTTGGCGTCCTACCGCAGCACGCCAACGGAGGAAAAGGGCGAGGGGAATGAACTTGGACGAGGGTTGTGCCAGATGCATGCGGGGCAAAGACAGGGATGGCGCCGGTGAAGGAAAGAGAGCGGCTATGGCGGGCGGAGAAGCTCATATCATACTCGTTCTTTGGTAAAAACTAGCAGGGGGAAGTAGTAGATAAGGGTTTTTTGGTGGGGCAAATCCATTGGTGAGCTCAGAACGGCGGGAGAGTCGGTAGAAAGGAAGTAAGTAGGAAAAAGATGTGCGCGGAGGTATGGAGAACGGGCTATGGGAGAAGTGGAAAATTAGATATCTCGCTCGACTTTTGCCGGAATCGAGCGAAGTAAAGTGTTAGATTGAGGTTTTTAGGTACGGCGAGTCAAACTGTACAGTTAGTTTGTGCAATAGAGTGCTGTGTAGCGAGGTAGGAGAGAAAGTGGCTGCGCGGAGATGGAAGAGGTGAAGAAGGAGGGAAAATGGAAAAACACATATCTCGTTCGTTTCTTGACGAAATCGAGTGAGGGAGGACTCTAAACAGGGGTTTTGGGGCATTGCGGGTGTGATGGCGATGTCCGTTCGGGCTCATGAGTAACAGATGGGGCGCCACGATGGCGGAGGGCTGCGCGGGAGAAAATAAGATACGAGGAGTATGTATCTTTCCGCGTTCTAGCGGGAGATTCATTCTCGTTTTTTTGATACTTTTGGTGAGTAGTGAAGCGTGGTCCAACGACTTATGCCCCTGACCGTTGTAGCAACTACTCACATCGCGGTCGCGGTGTGGGTCGCCGCTGCCGAGATTGCTGCTGGTCACCCTCACCAACACTGACTTCGTGCTTATTGAGAAGGTCGTCGCCGCGTTCGCCATCACGGTTGTGGCCGACCTGCTTATCAAGGTGTTGTAGCGGGAGAACGTCGTTATGCGGCTAAGAGTCAACAGGTTCGTTGTGGATAGCCACCGTGCTGCCTGTAATCAATGGCTGGTTCAACGTAGGGATGCTCTACTCCATCAAGGTCGCCCCTTCTAGCCCGGTTATGCTCTTGGTCGTGGCGGTCTTCGGTCTTCCTCTCTCATAAGCGTTATGTCGTCTACCGTGGCCGTGCTCCGTAGCAGTCAAGGTCGTCATATTTGTAGGAATAGTCTTCGTTGATTTCGACTGAACCTGGTTGTGTTGACGACCAAGTGCATTCAGATGACTAGGGGCTACAAGGTACATGAATAGGAAATGGGCGGAGTGGCCGTTTGGAATAAGAGGGGTGAAGAGGAAAACAGAGAAGGAGTGCAGAGGGGAGTCAATATATCTCCCTGTTTATAACAAAAGGGAGGTTTCAAAAATTGCTAATCTTATTTAGGAACGTGAGGCCTGCCATGAGACTTGGAGGCGTACCCAATGGCCGGGGAACTGGCCATCTCATTAAAGCAAGGGAGCAGGAAGCGAGCAGCAGGGCCAGCGGACTTGCCTGCTGGCGGATGTGTTGCCTCAGCCCGTTGAACGGAGGAGCTATAGGAAAACGGCGAGCCGCGGGCAGCATCTACTGTGTTTTTGTTGTTGAATCAAGGTGCTGGTCTTGTTGCGCTTCTGGTACACTTTGTTGAGCACAGAGCGTTGCTGTGGTTGCCATACACAGGGCTGTGCACGAGTGATTGGCGAATCCCGTTGTGGTTCACTGTGCACATTACTGAGCACGCAGTGCATATGTGGTTGCTATACACGCGGTGTTTTTTAGCTTGTAGCTGCGCATTGTAGTGCTCGTGTGAGATCCTTGCTACGCATGTAGCTGGGTTTTGCGCTGTGCATTGCCAAGTGTTGTTGTGTCTCACTGCACCCTGCTGCTGCATGCTATTGCGGTACCCCTAATTGATATGCCTGACAGTAGAACACATAGCGTGGGTTGTAAGTCGGTGTTGATTGCCAGTTGAATAGAGCATGGGGGGGGGGGAACTGCTGCAAACGCAGTGCCTATCATGCTTATGCAAGGGGGAGTATCCATGCTGTCTCTTATACACATCTAGATGTGTATAAGAG